ACAATTTAAGAACCACTGGCCTACTATGAAGAAACTACCAGATCATTACCTAAGGGCAGATTCTGAGGGCTACAGAGAGAGCAGGAGAGCTTGAAAGGAGGAAGGAAAAAAGAAAAGAGGGGAATAAGAATAGCTCCAAGACAAACTACACTTTACAAATTTTCTGAAAGCCTGAACTAGTGAACAGAAATCCTTGGAGTACAATGTGTAGTTGTGGAATTGGCACAGTGCACTCACCTTGGGGAATAGGAAATATGACTTTGTAAATACAATATTCTTTATACCTTAAAAGGGGAATTTCAATAAATAGGATAAATGCTTATTTAAGAATTTATAAATATAGTGTGCTTTTTCCAAGTCATTTGGCCTTTAAAATGTATGATTGCTTTTTTGTCTAACGATAGGACTATTTTGTACTATTTTCCCCATGAGTATTGCTGTTATTACTTAATATTTATTAAATAGCCACTATAGTGGCTTTCTTCTTACTCAAGAGGTTTTTCTTCTTTACATTTGTGTGCTAAATAGGATTTTCCTGCTGCCTGTCAAATTGAAACCATATTAAACAACACAGAACAACTTGAAGCAGGTATAGGAATCAATGCCCAGTTTTCTGTATTTAGAAAAACTGAGAACAACAAACCAAACATTTCCTCCTTTTAACTTGAGCGTAATGTATCTATTAGGAATGCAGTTGCCAATGAATCGAATCAATTAAACAAGTCACACACTGATGAGCCTTAAGATTTTTAAGATTTATTGGTTAGACGTGAAATGTAGGAACATATCATGTCAAAGGAAGTAGGATCCATAGTTTAAAAGGAAGATAAATCAGACTTTGAAGGTAATAATCTACAGAAAAGTCATGTTCAAGAGACACTATACATGTTGGATTTGATAACTTGAAGAGAACAAGAATTATAATAGTGCTAAAGGGTGAAGCTGAGAATTTAAAGATAGGGAAAGTTTAATAAAAAAGTCATGCTTTCTAATGTGAATTAGAAAACTACAAGGACAAAATTCATAGTCCTCAGTTCTGTTATTTGGAAAAATAAAAAAATCTATTTCATGATAAGACATGATAACAATTCTAGCAGTCGCAAAATAATTATTTCTAATTCAAATACTGTAAAATGAATCACAGCACAAAATGTCTTCAGACATATTGCAGCTGTTTTTTTTTTTTCTTTTCTCCTGATTCTTTTTCACTGAATGTGTGAATGTATAAATAATGAAAGAAGAGACAAAGGCAGAGAAATTCCACATAGAACAAGATGAAGAAAATATCAGTTAGGGTTCTATTATGTGTTGAACTGTGTTCCCCTACAAAGGTATGTTGAAGTCCTAACCCCTGGTACCTCAGACAGTGACCTTATTTGGAAATAGGTTTATTGCAGTTGTAAGTAGTTAAGATGAGGTCATACTGGAGTAGGGCATACCCTTAATGCCACTATGACTGATGTACTTATAAAAAGAGATGAAGGGACACAGATGCATTGGAAGCATGTCACATGAAGATGCAGGCAGAGATTGGAGTGATACACCTACAATCCAAGGAATGCCAAGGATTGGTGGCCATCATCAGAAGCTAGAAGAGAGGTACAGAGATTTTCCCTCAGAAGAAACCACACTCCAGTTGATATCATGATTTTAGCCTTCTAGCCTCCAGAACTATGAGAGAATAAGTTGCTCTAAGCCACCCAGTTTGTGGTGCTATGTTATAGCAGCCCTAGAAAACTGATGCAGTTTCTTTCTTAACATTTTGTATGTTTCACACAAAAGATTAACCCTTCCTTACCCATTGACTCATATCACACCACTCAAGCCAGGCAAAACCTTTACTGAAAGTAAAATTCATGAACCAACAAACCATCCTACTTATTAGAATGATTCTCAGGAATGTACATCTACTAGTGTAATAACTATTTATGCACATTTTAATGCATACTATCCAAATAAAAATGAAAAAGGAGATAAAGTTGGAATAAAAGTGACTGAAAATATTATACATTTTATTTTATTTTTTTGAGACAGGAGCCTCAAGCTGTCCCCCTGGGTAGAGTGCCGTGGCATCTCAGCTCACAGCAACCTCCCACTCCTGGGCTCAAGCGAGTCTCCTGCCTCAGCCTCCCAAGTAGCTGGGACCACAGGCGCCCGCCACAAAGCCTGGCTATTTTTTGGTTGCAGCCGTCATTGTTGTTTGGCGGGCCTGGGCCAGATTCGAACCTGCCACCTTGGGTGTACGTGGCTGGCGCCTTAGCCACTTGAGCCATAGGTGCCAAGCCATACATTTTATTTTTAATAGTTTAAAGAGCCATTTTTTGTTCTCATTAGTATATTATTAGAAATGTTATACATATTATCATATTTTAGTGAGCACAATATTACTAGATATGATTCATTACTTTTATATTCTTGGTTTAACAGTTTGTGATACAGTGATTTAATGGTCCAGTTCTAAGTTCCGTATATGTTGATACCTGGTTTTAATGGTTGTCATAGTTAAAAAAGGTACTTCACAAAAATACATATATAAGTTCGAATGAAAAGATGTGCATGGTTGGCTGCATTTATTACATACTGATTGCCAATTTTCAATTCTAACTACTAATTTAGTGGAGGTTTTGGTTAAATTGGGTTACTACTTTTTTTTTTTTCTTTTTAGATACAAGAATCTCACTTTGTTACCCTCAGTAGAGTGCTGTGGGGCATCACAGCTCACAGCACCCTCCAACTCCTGGGCCTAGGTGATTCTCTTGCCTCAGCCTCCCAAGTAGCTGGGACTATAGGTGCCTGCCACAACGCTTGGCTATTTTTTTGTTTCAGTTTGATCAGGGCCGGGCTTGAACCCACCACCTTCAGTATATGGGACTGGCACCCTACTCACTGAGCCACAGGTGCTTCCCACTACATTTGTTTTTGTTTTAAATAATTTAAATGTAACTTGCAGACATCATAGTACTTTCTCTTAGATATGCTGCTTGCATCTACTAAGAATAAAGAAATTCTCTTGTATAATCACTATACTAATTAGTGCACCTAAGAAAAATGACAATAGTTCCCTAATACCGTCTAATAACTAGTCCATATAAAAAATTCCCACCCTCCCCATGATTGCATTAATGTACACAGCTATCATTTAATAAAGAAAAATTCCCACCCTGTCTCAAGAAGTTTTTATAGCGTTTCTTTGACCAATGTGAAATGTAGGTTCACATGTTTATATTTGGTTTGCTTCTTTAGCCTCTCTTGAAGAGAATACCTATTTCTACCACCTTTATTTTTCATGACATTGTTTTTTTTAAGTGTCTAAGACTGCTGTCCTTCAGAATGGCCTGGATTCTGGATTTATCTTATTGTTTCTTCTGGTACTATTTCATGTTAAAAAAATCTCATATATTTCTTATAAAATATAAGTTAGGTCTCTAAAGATTTGGTTAAATTAAGATTAAATGTTTCAGCTAGAATATTTCAAAGTTGAGATTGTTTAATTTAATTTGCATCTTATTGGCAGGCACATTAGGTCTGGTGGCAGTTAATACTAGTGACAGCAAGTTTGATCATTTGCTTAATTTAAGATGGTGACCTCTGGTTCCTCTCACTGTAAAAGTACTGTCCCTTAGGTGTAGTTCTACATTCCTCATTTTTTCTATCAGATCAACAGTTTATGCTTCCACATATGAGAACATGAGGTATTTATGTTTCTATGCCTAGCTCATTTCACTTAACGTAATATTCTCCAACCTCATCCAGGTTGACGCAAATCACCAATTTTGTTCTTATTTATTGTATAATACTTCTTTTTCTTACTTTAAAAATAATGGTGCCTAATCATATGTAACATGTATATATTATTTACTAACATGTATGTATTATTTACTAACATGTATATATTATTTACTTTATCCTAAAGTATGTCTAAATTAGCTTCGAAATTATAATCAATATTACTAATAAAAAGAAACCTACTGAGTTTTCTTTGAAGTTCTTTTTGTCTTTTGAATATATCTAAATAAGATGTGCAGGCAGAATATTGTGTTAAAAATTACTTTAAATAATCACTTTCTCAGTATGATTATATTATGTTTCATATATATTATGCTCATCTGTTTCTGTTTAAAGTTTTAATGTTTTATACTTTTTTCATTTGCATAGTTTAAAAATTAAAGTGATATAGAAAAGATATAGTCAGAGAAGACTTGTTGCTATCCCTATCCCCTCCATCTCTCTCCCACCCCATTCTATTACTTTGTAAGTTAGTACTTTCATCCTTTCTATATTTCTTTTTGCAAAAATAAGCAAATCAGCAAATTTTCCTTCATTTTTTAAGATGTTGCACTTCCCTCTTTGTGTCATGATGTCATAGTTTATACAATCAGTGCCTTATGAATGGATATCTAGGTTGTTTCCAATTTTTTGTTATTAAAAGTAATTCTGCAAAGAATAACTAGTGCATATATTTCATATTCTTGGCATTGTACCTTTAAGGTAGATTCTTAGAAGCTGCACTGCTGGATCAAAAAGTAAAGCCATGTAATTGTGTTTGATGATGCCAAATGTCCCTCCATGGGGATAGTAACATTTTGCACACTTACCAGCAATTTAAGAGAGTGACTATTTCTCCACATTAAGCCAACAGACTTTATTGTCAGTATGCATGAGGAATGCTATCTTGTAGTTTTAACTTTAATACTTTAGGTGTGAGGGTGAGCATTTTTCGTGTTTAAGGACCATTTGTTTTTCTTTTTCTGTGAATACTTTGTCTTTTGTCATTTTTTTATTATGTATTCAAATTTTAAGGGTGCAAATATATGAATTTTCTTTGTTTTCATAGATGGCACACATAGTTTTAGCAATAAAAGCCCAAGATGTTACAAATATTTTCAAACATTTCTTTTACCGATGGTATCTCCATAATGTGACTTTCTTTTGAAAATAAGGTGTTTGTTATTATTAAAATGTCACTTTTCCTTTGAAGGTATATGGGGGAGTTTATTTATTTATTTATTTATTTTTTAAAATATGGAAAGGTTCATGCTTGTGCAGGGGGCATGCTGATCTTCTCTGTATCCTTCCAATTTTAGTACATGTGCTCCTAAAGCAAGCACGGTTTATTCTTTTTTAAAAGCACATTCTAGGTAACACATTACTAAGAGCCTTTTGTCATCAGAGCAAAGGTTGGCACACTTGAAACACTTATCTTTTAATAAAAGAAAAATGCCTAATGCATCTTTAAGTTCTACACCTCCTTTAAGTACTTTATCACGAGATAATCAAAGAAACTCTGTATAATACAAAATAGATTCTGGGTCACTTCACATATTTCTATTGAAAAGTTTTTATTATTCATTAGTCTGGTTTTTGTAAAATTAAGTAAATTAATAATATCCTGCAAATTACGAACAAAATCTTTTTCTTCTTATCCTCTGAAAGATCGTCTTACTCCATTTTGGAGATCATGCTACATAGAATAGCCAATAACTGTTCCCTCTGATGCAGAGAATCACAGTAATGTTTGCAATATTAGTGAAAATTGTCTTTATCTCTTGAAAACCTTAAGACTTTTTCGTGTTCTAATTGGTAAGTCTCTGGATTTTGAGAGTCGCAATTTCTCCCTTTGTAGATGCTGAGTAATATCCTGTTGTGTATAAATAGCTCATTTTCTTTACACATTTATTCATGGGCGGAAAGTTAGGTTGATTCATCTCTTGGTTATTGTGATAATGCTGCAATGAACATGGGGGTGGAGATATTCCTTCAACATACTGATTTCATTCCTTTGGATATATACCTTAAGAAGTGGTATTACTAGGTCATATGATACTTCTCTTTTTAGTTTTTTGAGGTACTGCCATACCATTTTCCATAACAGCTCTACTAATTTACGCTCCCACCACCAATGTACAAGAGTTCTCTTTACTCTGCATATTCCCCAACATTTATTTCCTTCCTTTTTTTTTTTTTTGAGACAGAGTCTCAAACTTTCACCCTGGGTATAGTGTCATGATGTCACAGCTCACAGCAACCTCAAACTCTTGGGCTTAAGCAGTTCTCTTGCCTTGGCTTTCCAAGTAGCTAGGACTACAGTCTTCCATCTTTTTAATAGAAGTCATTCTAACAGATGTGAGATGATATTTCATTGTGACTTTCATTTGCCTTTTCCTAATGATTCCTGATACTGAGAATTTTTCATGTACTTGTTGGTCATTTTAATGTATTCTTTTAGAAAACGTCTGTTCATGTCCTTTGCTCATTTTAAATATGGTTATTTGTTTCCTTGCTATTGAGTTATTTGAGTTCCTTACATATTTTGAATACTAACCTTTATCGTCAGATGTATAGTTTGCAAATATTTATGGTGCCAAGAACACACAATGGAAAAAGGACAGTCTCTTTAATAAATGGTGTTGGTAAGCTGGATATACTCATGCAGAAGAATGAAACTGGACCTTATCTCACACCATATACAAAAATCAACTCAAAATTGACTAAAGTCTTAAAGATTAGATCTTAAACTGTAAAACTACTAGAAAAAAATGTAGACAAAAACCTCAGTGTCTTTTAGGTTCTTCAATGTTGATAGAATCAGAATATGTGAAGCTTAAAAACTTCACATGCAGATTTAAGAATCTCACCTAAATGTTCTATGGGTAATACCTTTGGTTTTTATAAATAGTTACCCATTGGTCTGGGTAAAGATTTTTTGGATATGACCCTGAAAACACAGACAAAATAAGCAAAACTACACAAATGTGATGGCAAACTCATAAATTTTAGTTATACAAACCAGTAAATTTCTTAATTATTTCACCAGGATTAAGATTTTCCATTTGCATATAATTATCACTTGGTAGTGGCTATCCTGATGGAAACTATTTTTCCAAGCTACTCTTGCATTTAGTTGGGGTCTTGGGACAAGTTATTGCAAGTGGAAGGAATGAAGTGTGCGTGGCCAAAGAAGCAATGAAATAAGCAGACTTTCTCTGCTTGTTATCTTTTACATTTTTTTCAGCTAGATACAGGTGAGTCTGGGGCCCTAGAGGATGGCAGAACCATAGTGTGAAAGATGCTAGAGTGCCCCAAATCATATGAAAGGCCGATGCCTGCATTGGATTGTCAGACATGAAAGTTACTGCAATTTGGGGGTTTATTTGTTAAAGCAGCTTGTCTGACCTCACTAATATCCCATATATTGCCTAATGTTAGTTGTTTTATATTTGTTTGCTTGTCTCATTTCACTGTTAGATTGAGATTACCATGAGGGCAGAGACTGGATCTTTATTCATCTTTGTAGCCCCTGTGACAAATGTACTTAATAAATGTATGTTTAATTACATGAATTCTCAGAGGGCCAAAAAAGTTTAGTTCAAAAATAACTCAAAACGTCTTATGTAAGTTAATTATCATTATATATATATATATATTTTTTTTTTTTTTTTTTTGAGACAGAGTCTCAAGCTGTCACACTTGGTAGAGTGCCGTGGCATCATAGCTCACAGTAACCTCAAACTCTTGGGCTAAGTGATTCTCCTGCCTCAGCTTCCAAAGTAGCCAGGACTACAGGTGCTTGCCACAACACTCGGCTATTTTTCAGTTGTTTTAGCTGGCGGGGGGTGGGAGGGAGTCAAACCTTCCAGCCTTGGTGCACGTGGCCATGAGCTACGGGTGCCACCCAATTATCATTATTCTTCAAAATAACAGCTTTATAGATATATTTCACATACCATACATTTTAATGAGTAAAATGTATGGTTTTCAGTTTATGCATGTACTGGTACAGCCACCACCAAATCGGTTTTAGAACATTATTATCACTCTCCAAGGACACCTCATACCCATTAACAGTTATTCTTCCTTTCCTTCTTACCTCCCTCTCTTCTCATCCTACACAATCACCAATCTACTATACTATCTGTCTTTATTGAATTGCCTATTCAGGACATTTCATATAACTTGGACACATTTTTGACCATTAGGGACAGTGCCTGTGGCTCAGTGGGTAGTGTGCCAGCCCCATGTACTGAGGGTGGTGGGTTCAAACCTGGCCCTGGTCAAATTGCAAAAACAACAACAAAACCAAAATCAAACAAAACATATGTGACTGTTAGTGACTTCCTTCTTTTAATTAACATAATGTTTTAAAGTCTTATCTATCTTCTAGCATTATCAGTACTTTATTTTTTTATTGCAGAATAATATTCTGTTGTATGAATGTGCTACTTTTTATTTATCTGTTCATTCACTGATAAAAATTTGGATTCCTTCTACTTCTTGGCTTTTATAATTAATACTGTTATTTTTTTTTTGAGACAGAGCCTTAAGCTGTCCCCTTGGGTAGAGTGCTGTGGCTTCACAGCTCACAGCAACCTCCAACTCCTGGGCTCAAGTGCATCTCCTGCCCCAGCCTCCCAAGT